GGATGACCTCACGTCGCAGTTGCTAGAATCGATGCTCACCCATGCACGTTGGTTCTTGGTCATGCACCTTGGTTCTGTCCAGGCGCAATGGATTGCACTGGAGATTCAGACCCTGGCCATTCCGAGATGCCTCTTGGATCTGGAAACCGCCAAGACGGTCTAATTCCACGTTCTCATCCAGAGCAGGCGGGAGTCCCAGATCGCCGATCATCACAACGTGTTTGCCAGCGTCGACTCGAAATCCTGGTTTTGGGAACTGCGAACGTGCAAGCTAGGTAGTGGAAGCAATGCAGTTCAAGATGTGAGGTGGTGGAATCGTTGTAGTGCGCGACACGTGGAGTAATATCCGTTTTGCGAGCTACGTGGTGTAAGCTATGTAGTACGATGTGGTGCAAGCTAGTTGGCGCACAATTAACCTTTCTGCTATCTACGCGTGGCCACCTCCAATGCTCGTGCAAGCATTCCACCCACCAGCCCGCAACGTGTTGGCAGAACACAACTGTCATAATGACGCGAATGTCATTTTCATGCCTCATGCAGGTCCATGCCTCAGGCGGACGAGTGGTAATTCTAATGATGTTGATGGTGGCGCTGACGACGAGGGCGACGACAACGACGATGGCGATGATAACGTCGATAATAATGCTTGGGATGATGGCGACGACGATGGTGATGGTGATGGGTATGATATCGGTGACGGTGCCAATGCTGACGCTGGCAGTGATGGTAATGATTGGTGCTGAGGGCGACGGCAACGACGATGATGTCGACGATGATGAGTGATGGCGGCCACGATGTCAACGACGATTGCGATAATAATGGACCGCATGGTGATGATGACGACGGTGGCACTGATGACGCTGGCGAGATTGAGGCCATGGTGTTGGCAAGGATGGAGAGGATTTACGCGCGCATACATTCACCACTTATGCCAGAAGGGTTGTTACAAACACATTGGGTTGATATCCGTGTTGGAGTGTGACGGATCATCACGTGGGCGCGTGGATACGCGCGTCTGTCGCCCGCATGGTATCGTCGAAGATGCCTCAGGCAAATGACCGCCGCCTGTTGCCTTCTGGAAACGCCGATGCCGCCAAACGTCGGGTCTGTCCAAGCTATTGGACCATATGGTCCCCCAGCCGTTGTGAAACCCTTTGGTGGAACAGATGGGAACTGAAGAGAAAGGAGGAGGAGCAGGAGGAGGAGGAGGAGGAGGAGGAGGAGGAGGAGAAGGAGGAGGAGCAGCAGGACGACGAGGAGGTGGAGAAACAGGAAAAGGACGGCTCTTGAGGCTCTGTTGGCGCCTCCTGGAAGCTTCTGCCTGAGAGCCTCTTGGGGGCGTCTGAGGGGCTTCCTGCTTCTTACGGGCCTCTTGGGGGCCTCTGACGGGCATCTTGGTCTTCGGAGGCCGTCTTAGGGGGTCGCCTCAGAGCCGTCTTGGAGGTTTGTCGGGCCGTCTTGGGGCTATTTTGGGGATCTCTCGGGCCGTCTTGGGTCCTCTTTGGCCCGTCCTGTGGACCTCCTGGGGGCCTCATGGGGCGTCTTGGGGGGATCTTTGTGGCCTCGTGGGCCGCCTTGGAGCGTCGGAACCCCGAAAAGGCGATAACGAGCAAAACCTTGCCTGGAGCGATTTTCGGTCGGCTCGGGGCGTTCTTGGACCGTCTAAGGGACCTCTTGGGGCCCCTTTGGCCCGTCTTGCGGCATGCTAGGGTCTGCAGAGCTCGCCCGGCGCGTGCCGACACACCCTGGGATCATGCGCGTTTGGCGGCGCGGGCATTTGCCCGCATGGTATGTATTTGATCGGGATTGTTGCACCATGCACTTCGCTAGATCAACGCATGTGTACTCCGGATTCCATAATAAAGTAGGGGGGGTTACATTGTACAGTCGGGGCCCTGAAGAAGGAATCCTTTTCGTTGGGGAGGGGCTCGGTGTTCCTTGCTTTTTCTGCAGTGTACCTTCGGTTCTCCTGAGGTTTCCCATGGGAAATCGAAGTTCAACTTCTGGGAGAAAGGGGCCTCGTTCCTTATTTTGGGTTCCTTAGGTCAACGCCCCGACTGTACCGCATTCCATTGCAGGGGATGATGGGGGGTCGATACCTGTCGGCCAGGGGTGGTAACGTGTGGTATTTCGGTGGACGATCGTGCATAACAAGCTTCGGCAAAACGCTACCTCGAGAGGTAGCGCGAACCTTGGCCTCGGTGGAGGGGCACCTAGACCTTATGTGGTATGAGTAGAACTCAAGCATAGTCAAACATAGTATGGGAACGATTTTTGAGTACTGTTTGGTCATTTTCGTTTTTTTACATTGTCGTCCCGACTCTAACGTGGTGCGATCTGTGAGGCGCAAGCTTTGTCCAGCCAGCGGACGAGGCGCTCACGGGGCGGCCATAGGCGGCGACCGAGGCAAAGCCCGGCAGAACTCAGGAGGAAAAAAAACACACAGACACAATGAATCGTCGATTCCCCAGAGAATAGGGGGAACTATGGGGAGTGGGAGGGAAGACGAAATCCCTAAAAAAACACGGGAACATATGGGGAATCTGTTTATGTGTGTGTATCTATTTGTGTGTCCTGGGGCCCCTTCAAGAACGACGGCCCGTGCACGGGGCGCCCACGAGGCGCCCACGGGGCGGCCACCAGGCGGGGGCACGGCGCGAGCCGCCGGAGCACGCGGCACGCACGAGGCGCCCAGTGCGGGGGCCACCGGGCGGCTGCCTGGGCGAGAGACAGCGGGAGCGCAGTCAGGGGCAACGATAGGGGGGGGGATGGGCATAGGGGGGGACGCATCGACCCCCAATCGCCCATTGATCGCCGATAGGGGTCCGATGGCCCCAACCCGCCCAGGAAGGTGCGGATTCACTATCGGGGGCCGATCGCCGATCTATCGGCGATGTATCGGGAGCGCAGTCATCGGGTATACAGTGACCGGCTTGAATAAGGAACACTTGCTTTTCAAAAGGGGCTCGGTCGTTCCTGAGGCTTGCACGCGTTTTTCAATCGTTCCTCATGTGGTGTTTATCATTTGTCGTTCCTTCTGAGTTGTTCTTTGGGGCAAAAAGGGGCTTCGTTCCTCCTGTATCGTTCCTTGGGTCAGGCCGAGGACTGTAGCCAGGACCTCGGGTAAAGGGACCTGGTTAGTGGTAGGGCCCTGGGCCCAGCTGGGGGCCCTCAACTGGCCAGATTTACCAAACCAGGTTTGCCGTAATGGGTGTTTTTCGGGTGGCGGCAGTTCCGGTCAGTGGAAATGGGGCGGGGGGGCGCCCCCCGTACAAATCGGTAAACTAGGTTCCTTTAAACCCAGTTCTGCCAACGCCCGAATTCAGGGGCAGCGATTGGGGGGGATGGGCACAGGGTTAAGTCGGGCCTGTCCCCCTACAAGGGGATTTTCGACGAAGGATAAACAAATCCCCCCAAGATCATCAAAAGATAGTTCAACAATTAGTCTGGGGACTATTTTTTGAGTATTTTTTAACCTTTTTGGGGCATGTTTGGGGTATTTGTTCCTTTTCTTCGTCGAAAATCCCCCTGTAGGGGGACATGCCCGACTTAAGCATAGGGGGGGACGCATCGACCCCCAATCGCCCATTGGTCGCCGATAGGGGTCCGATAGCCCCAACCCGCCCAGGAAGGTGCGGATTCACTATCGGGGGCCGATCGCCGATCTATCGGCGATGTATCGCCTATTCCAGGTCGATGCATCCCCCCTATGCCAGTCCCCCCCTATCGTTGCCCCTCACGCATGCCGGTGATCTCCCAATGCAGTCACAGGTGGGGGGTCTGCGGGATGGCCAGCAGGTCAGGACGCCTGCACTGACGCCCCATGACCACGCCTGACGGCTCGTCTCAGGCGCCCTCGGGGCTGACATGTATTTTGCGTTTCTCCATGCGGCCTCGTCCCTCTCCCATTCGGGAAGCGCATGGCGATGATTCAGGAGCCCGAGAAGAGGCTCGAAATGCGAGTGCTGTTTGGGGAGCCATGACTTTCTGCAGGTGCGTGCTGCTTGGGTCGGTCGATACGTGCGTGTCGCTGTATAGCCTGTGGGCTGAGTGCGATCGCTGGCGTTGGCAGCATGCGAGCGCACATGCGTCGCAGTTTTTACCACAACATGCACATTTCACGGCCCAGTTGAATTGCGTGTACAAGTTTAACCACATACATACATACATACATACATACATACATACATACATACATACATACATACATACATACATATATACATACATACATACATACATACATACATACATACATACATACATACATACATACATACACACACATACATACATACATACATACATACATACATACATACATACATACATACATACATACATACATACATACAGGCAGGCAGACAGACATACAGGCATACAGACATACAGACATGCATGCATGCATACATACATGCATGCATACACGAATGCATGCATACATACATCCATACATGCACCCATACATACGTACATGTATACAAACATAAGCACATACACTTATCCATACATAGATGTATGCACGCACACATATATATATATATATAGTTATATAGATACATGCACGCATGTATACCTGCATGCATGCATACATGAATACGTGCATCCACGCGTACACACATACGCACATACATACACAGATGCATACATGTACACATGCACACATCCATACATGAATACATGCATGCATGCATTCATCCATCCACGCATGCATGCGTGAGTGCATGCATGCATACAGACAGACAGACCGATAGACAGACAGACAGGCAGACAGACAATCAGACACACAAACAAGTATGTACATATACATATCTATGTATATGTGTATATGTATGTATTCAGACATGTTGTTTCATTGTCAATGTAGGAATGTGACAACATCGGATTACTCATGGCTGGGGGGAAAACGTGAATAGGATGAGAATGACATATGTTTGATATTGTCGCAAATGCGTGCGTAAGCTGTGCTCACGCAGCCTTCCCAAGAGAGGGTCGGCCAGGAAAAGATGGAAGAAATACTGGGAGAAGTGGAGGCGGGGATGCCCAGCCGCTGCTGCCCCAGATTCTGGCGATTATTACATTGGCGGGTTATCTCTGAGTACCTTCGGAGGAGCACATATCTATGAGGTGTACAGGTGCAGATACTCCGGGGTGCCATCGCCGAGCGTCGCCATAGTCTGCCCGGCTTGACAGAGATGTTCCAGTCCTGCCCAATCTTTTATCATCTCATGAGCTTCTTAGCCCATTACGGGGACCGCAGATCTTCTGCTTTCTGACAGCACGTCAATCGACACGAGAACACCCAAGAGCACTGCCTGCGGGCTGTGCCTCGGGGCTGCGGCTCTGCCAGCCTGACCAGGAACCATCCTGGACACTTCTCTCTTACCTGCCAGGGCCCGCTTCGAGACATGGGGTGCTGTGGAGGGCGGGCAATACTTCTGTCCATGTCCATGGCGATGTGGAGTTTCGGGTTCCCTTCCCCAGCAGCCAGAGGCGCGCTGGATACGGATAACTTTGCCCCCTAGAGGCTCGATTTTTATCCATATCCAGTGCGCCTCGGCCTTGTGGCGCCGCTTCCCAAATAATCCAAAGCGCATTGGATATGGGCATGAATCTTGTCCGCAGTGGAGGGCGGTGGGCAATCGTGGTCTCCAGACCTGGCACAAGAGTGCCAGCCCGAACGTCCTCGCGCAGTGCGCTCCCAAGTGGAGGCAGGGCGAGCACTCGCGGGCAGCACCATGCCGTCAGCTACATTCGAGGGGGCTGCCTGAGAATACAGATCTTGTTCCTATGTCGGTTAGATGAGTTTTCCCTTCGGACCCCCCCCCCCTTCAGGGGGTGTTTTTGTGAGGGGTTAAAGGGGAGTTCGGCGTGTTCTTCCTCTGGACCACCCCCCTGAGGGGAGGTTCTTGTGAGGGTCAGGGGAGTTTTCTGTCCGGAACCCTCCTTTAGGGTATGATTTTTAGGAGGCGCCTGGGGGGTAGGTGGTTCCCCCTGGAACATATCTTCAGGACAGGTTTGGGGGAGCCCCCCCGGTTTCCTCCCCAAGGGAGTTTGTTTTGGGGTGTTGGGATTGGTTTAGGTTTTTTTCCCCTGGAGCCCTGCCGCAGAATTGCGCCCCCGCCACCCATGTCGGCACACCCCTCACACGCTTCGTGGCTCCCTAGGGAGCTCCACCGAAGGCCCCCGTGGCTGTGTTCGCATGCGTCCCCGCCACCCGTGTCGGCACACTCCTCACACGTTTCGTGGCCCCAGAGGGAGCTCCACCGAAGGCCCCCGTTGCGGTGTTCGCGTGCACCCCCGCCACCCGTGTCGGCACACCCCTCACACGCTTCGTGGCTCCACAGGGAGCTCCACCGAAGGCCCCCGTGGCGGTGTTCGCGTGCGCCCCCGCCATCCATGTCGGCACACCCCTCACACGCTTCGTGGCCCCCTAGGGAGATCCACTACAACACCGAAGATCTCCACCGAAGACGATGCTCACGTCCTCTGCACGCTCATATTCATCGTGCTTATTGTTTCACTCCCTCCCTCCTCCTCGGTTCCTGCTCTTCCCATCCTGTCAGAAACGACGCATGCGCGTGCACCCGACCACCTGGGTTGCCTAGCAGCATGAGGTAGCCAGACAACGTGCGACTTGGCACCACGAGTCTCAATTCTGCTCGGCGAAGTGATACTTGGGTGAGTAGCTGTCTGCCGACCAGAGTGTCTGCCCAGCAAAAAGAGCTGGACAGCTTGCACCCCCGAGTGGTCGGGGCATGGGCGAGCCCTCGCAAACAGTGGCGTCGCCACGGGGACGGGCGTCTCCAGCGGTCGGAACGTGCCAGTCTGCGTAGGTTTCTTGGCAGCTCGTGGTATTCATTGTCCACAAGAAACTTTCAACAAGAAACCCAACCCTGAGACCAAAGGACGTCCCATGATGTTTGGTGTGGGAACGTCACGCTGTCGATCGCAAAACCATGGAAACCCAAGAAGCCCAGGGCAATCTGGAGGCAAGCAGGGTGTGTCTTGCCATGGGCCCCCACTGTATTATGGGCGGCTCCAAAGGAGAAAGTCAAAGAGGAACACGACCAGGCGGAGCACAAGAGGGCCGTCTCGCAGGGCCAGGAGCCGCAGCGCCGCCCCCGGCTTGCGGATGCCCTGGGGAATCAGCGATATCTGGGTTGTCGGCAGCCTTGAGGCGGGGGTCAGTGCAAGCGGGGATCAGCCAGAGCGCCGGAGCGTGCGGGTGCATGGCCGAGGGAACAAACACTGACATAAACATAACAACTCGGAGGTCCGCGCGGATTGCTCGGATCGACGCTGGAGCCCCCCGGCGGCGCCTCTGGCGCCGCCCTGGGCGCGCTCCGCGCGCCAGGGAGGGGGGGGTCCAGCGCTGATCCGAGAAACCCGCGCGGGCCTTTGATGAGTTATGTGTATGTCGTTGTTTGCTCCCCTACTTTGGCCCGGGCCTGCGTGCAGGATCCTGCAGGGCCTTGCAGGGTCCTGCAGAGTCTGCAG